GCTTGTAAGATGGATGACAATGTTTGTCTCAAATAAAACGTCGTAAGGTCAACCATCTTAATCAATGGTATAGTATTTGATGATTTTTCTGATCGTGTATGGAAATCTTAAATAGATGGTTAGTTATGGACAATGAATTCTTGTTTATAGTCTACAGCTTGTAGTGGAAATACTATTCCTATCCCTGGAGGGTAGGACTATTGCGGATTAAATATTGTATTCTTCAATTATGGTGTAAATATCAAGTACAGAGCCTTGTTTTCTTTGACCTCTCGCTGTTCATCTCCAACGAAGAGACACATGATACATACGATAGCCTAAGGTATTGGAAGTTGAGTCGTCTCATTCGTGCCTTCAGCCTAGAACAGTTTTGTAACCCGGACCGGGGCTTACTGTGTGGGGCCGGATCTCGGAGACCATGGGGGTGGGTCTGCGGACCGGTGCCGCGATCCGCTGTATGAAAACCAGGGGTTAACATCACAGTCAAGGCGAATGACATCAGTCCTGAAGCATGGCTTTTCGAGCGTCTCCTTAAATTCCTGACCTATGACCTGGGGAAAGTAGTCTACGTGGTGAAGGCCTTACGCATGAAGTTCGGAGGACTCTCGGGGTCCTCAGTAGCTAATCCCCAGATCGACAATAGGGGCGCTTCGAGGATGAGAATGAATTGGATGCAGCTCCACCCTGTACCAACCCATAGTAGCACAAGGTAGGGAATCTAGCTAATTTGCCGTGTGGATGGGAGAGTCGGGATTGTACTCCGGATTGAGGATTAAATATACCTGCTGAGCCTGGACACTGATGACATGCACTCACGGAGACGAATCTTTTATACAGTATACTCTGCATGAACCGTAGATGTTAATACGACTTGTGGAGAGGGTTTGCGACTCTTGATAACCACTCTAGCTTTTCTTATGATCAACATCCATACAGTATAATCAGTTGATGATGAACCAGTTCCTAGCATAGGCTCAGATACTTACCTAAGTCTCCGTACGAGCTTGGAAGCTCACGCGTCGACAGGGCGGGGAATCCCACTCAACCATTTCTATGGAGGGTTGCATGCGTCAAAAGCTGCAAGTATCGACAGGGCCAATACCCTGAAGATACGGAGTCTAGGGAGTCAATTCATTATCTTTGAAGTTTGATCATGTGGCCCGAAATCGGATGGACTCGGATGAATGTTGTTTGATGAATGATCATTGATAGTTGTGATTTAGTATTAGTACACAGAATACTGAGAAGAATGTCACTCACAATGACGTATATGAGAATGAGCGTACATGCAAACTAAGGTACTAGTAAGGTGAGGCGATAGGGCAGATGGACAAACTGGGCGGTCTAATGAGAGTTTCTAGTGAGAAGAGGCCGGCGAACATGAAAAACAGGCTCCGTCAGTCCATAGTGATGATAGCAGAGGCTGGTTGTTGATTATGGCAATCCTCCCCCCGTCCGGAGTGCACGGTGAAGTCTGATCCAACACTGGGCAACAACTTTCGCCGCTTGATGGAATGCAACGCAACCATGAGAGGGCCCCCTCTGGCACTTCTGGGTAAATAAGGCAAAGACCTTCACCCACCATATCATTATCATCGGAGAACAGCGATGATCAGAACATCATAGTGATATGCTTCGTCCGATCGATCCCGGCGTTCATGACAGCCTTATCCTGCATGATTCAACTGAGAGGAGCGGTGAGTTTTACTTGTTTTGTCTGTTCTTTGTGTAAGGTAGGTAGGTAGCTGGTTAGCTTTTCCCATTGTCAGACATGGCTTTCCGAGCTCGTGACCCTGGCTAGCCTGGATGCTAGGAGATTAGTGAAAGTGTGGGGGAGGTGTAAACCCCAGACTTGGCTTATTGACACCTGGAACTTTGGGCATTTAGCCCCCCGCTCCCCTCCACTACCGCTCGACAAGATTCCACTGCAGCCGGGGGTGACCGGCTATCTTATGCACGATAAAATGCAGTGCTGGAGCTCTGGACTTTTGGAAGCATGAACCTGACCAATCATAGACTGTGCTGTGGTGGTAGTGGTGTTTTGCTTCACTAATTCTTATTTCTCAGCATAATTGAGAAGCTTCATTCTGATACTGCAACGTTGTCTTCCTTTTCACTCTGGGTAGATAATCTCAAATAATCAGTGAAGGACATACTTATACCTACTACTACATCTAATAGCAATGAATGTGATACTGTGAGTGAGTGACTGTACAGTAGATATCAGTTTGTCTCCCCCGCCCACACTCATTTGGCTCGCCCCCTGTCGCTTGGCACACGCACAGCAGGCGCTGTGGATGGATCTGCGGCTGCCTGCCCTCCGAAACCCAAAATTCGCCCACCGCAAAGCAAGCCAAACCAGGCCCAGGAGCGACCTGTAATACAGTCGGGTCCATTCAAAAAACACCTTCCCTCCAACCCTCCTCTGACCTCACTTCCATCCAAACTCTCTTCCTAACAGTCCTGAATTTCTTCCTTTGACTTCCTATGAATTCGATAGGAAGCATTATAATAACTGATACCCTTCATCGCAGTCACCTCTAGCAACACACAAACAACTTCTTTCATCGCGAGCAATGGAGAGCCTTCAACTTTCCCAGGTTCTTGCCGACCTCAGCAATATCGGCGCCGCCGTATGTGTCCATATTTAACCTTGGCCTCCTTTCTGATACATCTTCATCTGTACAGTCGATACTAACGTATCTCGTTTGTCAGGATCCGGGAGCCGCAGAGGCCATCGTGAACGCCAACAACCCCTCCAACTCTAGTTACACCCGAGTCGAAGTGACTGCAGCTGCAGCTGCCCCTACCTCGAGTCCTACTACGAATCAACAACGACGTCCCACAGGCTTACAGCGGCATTGGTCGTCGGAGAAATTCGACAAGTTTGGCCGGCGCATTCTCTCTCCCGGTTCCCACTCCGGTTCAGCCGTAAACTCTAGCCCTGGAACCCCTCGCCGAGGCGAATATGATGTGAGGCAACCCCACCAACTGTCGTCTCAAAGGCGAAGCTGGGACACGGGCACTGACAGAACTGCTGTACAGTTCGAAGAAGACCTGGAGAGAGCAAGCACACTCATGCAGCTATACGACATTCGCTCCAAGATCAAGCAGCAGGATAATAGCAGCCTGCTCAAAGCTCGAGAGAAGGTCAACGCGATAGCAGCGCGACAACAAGCTCAGCAGGCCGCGGAACGCAACATGAAGGCAGCTGACGAACTTCGACGGCAACGCTACTCTTTCCCAAGAGCCGGTCTCTGAAGCGAATGGCCCTTACGATTTCCTTATATCTCCTCATCACGGATCACGGGCTCGTTATGAAAGGATAGGCGCTGGATAATATCTGATTGGTGTCTGTGGGATGATTTCTTTGACGGCGTTTGGGACACAAAAGTATATGCCGTCGGTGCGATGAAATCGATCCTCTTCTGGAGAGCGGGGTTGAAGGCAAACCTGCTATGTTTTGACGGTTGGAACTGCTGATATTAATACGATACGCTTGGATAAGCGAAGCGGAAGATGTTCTTTTTGGCACTTTGGGGGACCAAGAGGGCACGAAACAATTTATGTATACCATGGGAGAATGAAAGCGGTTTCTATGTTCTCGGATAGTTCGACTCCAAACAATCCTACTATAGTAGACATGCCGCACCTTCGATCATTCTCCACACATGGCACAAAACATCAATTCTTACATCATTTGAGCCTCTTGGCCTAATGCCTCTACTCATGCAAGGATCATATATACTGTCGATTGATGATTTAATTAATCCTTAGCCATCTCAGAACGAATAGCATAGATTAGTAATAAGCTTAAATGCCGTAGGCCGAACTGATATGGAATCCTAAGACGGGTCTTTGTAGGGTCATGACAAGCTGAGCTTTTGCGATATGCCGAGTCCGAGAGTTTGGGTTGATTTTTGCTTGGCATTGGGAATACTAGCATAAGAGTCCAGGAGATTAATGCAGGTCCTTTTACAGGTTGCTCATGACGTTCTAGAATGTGGTTTATATGTAGAAGATCAATCATCAACAACGAAATGATGAGTACAAGGTAGGTGGGTAGTCAGGGGTGGAAACACGTCATTCATTGGCTTCGCCACATGAAAGAGGAATTGGGATTTGGCCGCGAAGACTTTTGAGGCTTAGCAGTCTTGGACAGGTGATGATCTCGGTGACTCGATCTAAACTTGCCGGTGAAGTACAGGCCTTTCCGCTACCATTCGCTAGCCATAGGAACCAGTTCTCAATTGATACGCAGAATACGCTGCGTATTGATGACGGCCTTGACTCACTCCCCAAACCTGTATATCACCCTTGAAAGTAGCATGGATGGTATGATTATATAGCGGGAATCACGGCAGATATGAAGGTTACCGTGATGTAAGCGCCAAGCTCCCAACTACGACCAAGTACTGTATCCCGTCTTTACGCACAGCCACTATCGACCACGCAGCGCAATACTTAGGTGGCATTAAACCTCGTTTGATAGCCAAGAGCACACCATGTTGGCCAAGACGAGACAAAAGTGGAAACACTCGAAACCAAGAAGAGGCTTGTGACCGCGTTTTGTTAGAGTTACGCAGGCAACTTTAGGCTCTAGGCCAAGCTTAGGGGGATGCCATGATTCTTCTTTTCTCTTGGCTTCGTCGTTTGAGTTGCACTATGCATAAAGGGCCCTCCTCCCACTCTCTTGTCTCCTCTTCTCTCATTTGTCTGGAACTTGTAATAGCAAATATACCTGTTATCCTGCTTTTTCTTACACCCTTTGACGGCCCGGTCTAATCGTCAATCACCTACTGTAACAGATCTTTTTACACAACCTATCACATAAAGACGTCACCTCCCTGGGAACACCATCACACACATTCTACGTCATAGCCTAGCGACTCAGCGCCGCAAACAACACGTCAAAAACAGAGTTTGCCAATTGAACGTTCTTCAACTCTACTTCATTATCGTCGCGTATCGTACACACTTTGCGCATCTTCATAACCACGATGGCGCCAACTGAAGATATTTTTGCGCGCGACTACTACAGATGCTCTTATGGCCGGACTTGGAATGGACGAACATGTGTTCGTAACAACTGGTCCTACTGGGGGCGCTGGGTGTTAGCGGGCATCGTCATCATCTTCTTCGTTCTCTTCCTGTTCTGCTGCCTGTAAGTAGCTGTACCTCCGTCGTCGTTTGAAGTATCTTACTAACACATCAAGATTCTCTCGCCGTCGCAAACGCCGTGGCGTTAAGCCCGTGTACGGCACTGGATGGATGGCGGCCAAGCCTTGGGGAAACAACAACAACAACCACCAGATGTACAACTACGGCAACCAAGGCGGTTATAACCAGGGCTACCAGCAGAACAACGGTGGTTACGGAGCTCCACCTCCACCCCCAGCATACGGCCAGCAACAGCAGCCTCAGTACACTGGTACGACATTCAACACCAACGACGGGTACTACGGCCAGGGCCAGTATTCCGGAGTTCAGCAGCCTCAGGGTACATACCAGCGTGAAGGTGCTTACTCCCCACCTGCGGGTCCTCCTCCTGGAAAGTAAAGCACAGCGGTGGGTGTGTTTGGAATAGGAACGGGTTTATAATACGGCCGATATGGAAAGGATACCACCGATTAAGGCGTTTGGGAGCTAGCTATGTTCTGAATGTATTGACGTCAAGACATGATGTGTTGCGATAAGAGGCATTACTCTCGCGAGCATGGCCTGAGTGGAATTACGAAACTTGTTTTTCCCCCTGTAATTGATTCTGGTCTTCGCTATAAACTTATTTTCGAAACAGTTAGATACCTATATTTGGGACGCGGCGAGTTGCTATTTACATTTCAACAGATGTGCCGTGAAGTCAAAGCCTTGATATTGATGAATGAATGAAATTCAAGAACAGCCGCATACTATCAAGTGAATTTGACGTGTGCACAGGTAAGTAGATCCAGTAGTTCGACATCAACGCCACAGCCATTGACAGGACCTGCATGAAACAACAAATATGCAGCATACCGCCATATGCCGCATGGCAGTAGTGGGCGGCGATCTGAATATCTCTTTGGTCAATACGGATATGTACAGTAATGCCGAATTCATCCGCGTATAATAAAGGCAGTGGTGCTGCACATCGCAATCATAACAAAAGGAACCCAAGCCTTGGCTCTTTGATGTTTTCGACGCCAAGTCCTCGAGAGCCTGGTCGACGAAGTCTCGATAGAGTACCCGTGAATCATCTCACATTTTACCACCAATTCCAATATCCTCCAGCCGTTGAAATCTGGCACTGATAAGTGACGGAATCATTTCAAAACCCTTCATTTTCCACCTCAACTCTACGACAGGATCGTCCGGCAATCGAGTCGACCCTGTCATTTCGGAAATGGAAGAAGCCCTGTGGCCCGCACCACGACCAGGGCTGAGCTTCTAATTGTCTGACAGAAGGGCTAACAATGGTCTGGCGTCTTTGATACTGGTGATGATTTCATGGCCTTTATGATCGCGCATTATTCAAGAAATAAAGACTCGTTTGTGTTTGAGAAGTAGCTGGGCATTTCTCTTTTGACCTCCAGGCAATACTCCATACGTAAGTTACATACAATAAAGATCGTCAGCTCGTCGACTTGCCCATCTTGCTACTCTCAATTTCCCATATGCCGTTAACCATCCTCTTTACAGCACTCTCCGCGAATATTCGTTCAATTACCCGATGTCTGTCCTATAAAGGCTAGGGTTAAGTGTCAAGCCACGGAGTCGTCATCACCCCTTCAACTGTTAAAGTCAGCAGCTGGAAGCCCGTATTGGATGTATTCACAGTCAGATTACTACAACAACATCCATATTCAATACAATGCAATAAAATAGGCGTACATATTCTCTAAACGCGGAATCGACTGTTCTCTCTCCGTCGAGTCAACCCTCAGACTGAACTGAACTGAACTGTCCGCCCCCATGAATGGATATGCAAGCGACAGTCCTGTCGAGTTTCACAGTTTCAGAACCCTTCTGACAGGGATGTTTTATCGATCAGGGGCAAATTGAACCACTAGTGGTCCCGTTTCCCCTGGATCATCCCCGCCACTCGTGGTAATTCTGGACCTCTCAGCGTCTCCATGTCCCTAGTGGCCAGGCCTCTCTGCCTGGTGGGCGCCTCTAACTCCAGCTCCACCGTTGCTTTCTTCCCTTCTCTTTGTACTTTATTCTCTACATCAACACGAACGACGATGCTGATGTGGCTGTCGTTCCCTAAGCCTCTCTTTAGCATCGTATAGGTCATCTACACTCTCTTGATTGCCTTATTTCTTCAAAACATTCTCTTGTACTGACGGTGCGAGCGCCGCTCTTGTTTCTTCATCCACAGTTCTCTTCTACTAAATCGCCGTCCTTCATTCCAACATTCGATCAACGACCCGCTCCAATATTGGCACGCGCTGGAAGAAGATACAGCATACGTCGCTGTCTCAATAACATCGTGTTTTGACTTTTTGACCGTTTCTCGATCAACATCCCCGAACTCAATTCAAGCATTATCGACTTGTCCATGCATGCGACCAAGTATTGTTATACCCGCAACCTCGAGCAAATTACTACGCAACACCATATTCATTATACCATTCTCGATCTCATCGAATTTATTTCACTCATTACCAGCTCCATCCTGAACTGGGACACATCAGCAAAATGCCCTCCATTGACGAGGCCATGGCACGGAGCCTTCGGGGCAGTGCCTGGGAGGTGGTCAAAGACAAGTTTGTCCGGACAATTGTAGCCGACCTTTCACGACGAGACATGCTAGCCGATGCAGCGCAAACAACCGATGAGGTTGCACAGAAATCAGAAGACTTTGCAACCGCTTTCTCTAGCTGGGACAACTGTATGAACGTGGCGTGGTGCAAGTACGTAACTATATCCTTGGCTACTAACACGCCTTTTTTGCTGACTTGACCCAGGTGGCCAGTCATTGGTGTGATGATCATTGGAGGTCTCATCATCTTCAGTATTGTTTGGTGTATTATTCGCTGCTGCTGCTGTGGTGTCTCATGTTGTTGTAGCTGCTGCCAGTGCCTGAAGTGCTGCGGTAACTGCTGCGGTGCTTGTGACCCTCCGCGCAGTGCTACGAAGCATTTGGATGACCCCTATGCTCCCCAAAGTCAGCATCATGGATACCGAAGTGAACCCCAAATGAATCCATCAGCGCCTCAGTACGGCGTCACAAAGCCCATGCGATCCGAGCCACCTCAGTATGCGGAATTCGAAACGAGTAAAGGCAGAGACGACGATGCCCTCCCTGAAATGCCCAGCTGGGAGGGTGCTAGCAGCAAAAAGGTCGAGGTTCACACAGAGGCCGTTGAGCTTGACACTCTACCGTCAAAGCCACCTCATAGTCAGCAAAGCAACATGATGGGTGGAGTTTCACCGAATAATCTGACTCCCTACAGCCAGGGACAGAGTAATTCAAGCGGCTACCTGGGCGCTAACCAAGCTCCCGATGCATATTCACCTATAGACCAGCAGGGCTACGGATATCAAGCCCCCGGCATGAACCCCATGTACAGCAGTGCCGCTGCTGTCGCACCCATGCCACATGAACGTCGCTCCCCGGCCTTGAATACCAATGGATACAGCAACCAAGGCTACAGCCATGATCAAGGATTCGAACAAGCCCAAGGCTATGGGCAAATGCAGGGCTACGGGCAACAAGGCTACGGTCAAGCCACGTCCCCCAACGACTATGCCGCAACTTATAGTGGCTACCGAGGAACTCCCCCGCCGCGGCCCGCCAGTTTCGCCAAGCGAGCTTCAATGCATCAGGATGAATTTGGTAGTTATGGACAGCTTCCTCCTCGCCGCTCTCCAGCTATCCCAGAAGATTATGGTGGTTATGGATCACCCGTTCGTCAATCACCAGGCCCCCAAAACGATTTTGGCTACGCTCAGCCACCTCGTCAGTCTCCAGCGCCTATGAACGATTATCGAGCACCGCCTCCTGGCCCCGAGGCCAGCTATGGTGCTCATCCTGTACAGCAGCGGCAACACATGCCAGAGTCCCACTCTCCGCAAGAGCCATACCCAGGTTTCAAGCCATACCAGCCTTAAATGGTGGATTTATGACACTTTGGGGTGAACGAAAGTAAAGATATTTGGTTGTGTTTTTCTGAGTATTTCATGGATATACGGAGTTGTTTCCCGCATTTTGTTACTACTTTACTATGTTTTACGCGTCGGCGTTTCTGGGGAGAATTTCGGTCGAACTTTGCTTTAGAATTTGGGTCTGGATACTCATGTTGTATTTTTGGAGGGCCCCATGATACGGATTTGTCGTCAGTCTGTAGGGAGATGGCTTCAATGCACCACTCGGCCATGACACAAGGACTTCTCGCCCACATGATGAATCTCCCTTCAGCTTCATGCAAGCTTGGCGTTATAGGCAAGACTTAACCATTCATTTATGTGACGAGTTTGCTAAACAAAAATGATCATCGCCGATGAGGCTTTGTGAAGTTTGATTTGATGTCGCCTCTAATCCCAAGTGTAATCCCATCTGAGAACGCCCCGGGCTCCTATTTACGCCATGAGCCTAATTGCCGCTCAAAGTCGGCAAAGAACCCACCAGTATTTGCAATATAGTATATCTCCATCCACTAGTAAGACGCCGCGACTCGAAACCAGTACAGATTGTTTGCAAAAGACCCATACGACCAGAAAACTCGATAAAACTCGAAACAAAACAGACAGCCCTGTCCAACGCTTAAGCAACCTCTTCTACTCCTTGGGATATAGCTCTTGGGGAACCTTGTCCTGAGGACCACGGGCGCTCGTACTACTTCCTATAATTGTTCGATCATCACCGTCGCGCTCGGGATCATACTCCCCAGAGTCTCTGCCGTTGGGTTGCGTGGAATGAGTAGGATGCGTGACAGGCTTATCGTCTTCGTCATCGGACTCACTGTCGGTCTCATGCTCCGAATTGACAAGCCTGGCACGTGAAGTCTCGTCCTCACTGTCGTCGTACCTCCTGCGGCGGCCTTCATCATCAGATTCGCTGCCATGGCTTTCGTGGTTGGTATCTTTGAGCTTGATGAACGAGTCGATGATATAGTATTGGAGGGCGTTCATGATGAGGGGGAAGATCATCATGACAAACGCGATCTGAAGCTTCTCATTGCCCTCGGTCCAGCCAAGAGCCCAGTCGCCAGCTTTTGAGATCCAAGGCATCATTATGAAGATGATGAGCACGCAGATCTTCATGCCAAAAAGGCCACAGAAATAAATGACTGATTGTTTCAACCACCACCATACATTGGGCGGGGTACCGTAGTTGCCAGACTGAACAGATTCGGGGGGTTGTCCGACGGGTGTGAAACGAACTAGACCTGTGAGGATCTTTAGGAGAATGATGAGTATGGGGATACCGAGAGTTGTCTATAGAGGTTAGTAAATCCGGGGTGTGCATCACAGCATAGGCGGATACTTGCATCTATCGCGAGGTTGAGAAGATAGAAAGAGCATGGGTTCGGGGCGTAGTTATCGTCATCGGATCGTCTCGTCATGGATGTTGCTGAAGGGTCGACCTGGACTGAGAATCGGCCGCTCGTCAACATGGACATGAAGATATTGGCGATGTGGACAAGCACAGAACCGAAAACCTGTTTTGACACGTCGAAGAACCAAATCTTGAGAGGCCGTTGAGGTCGTTCCCGCCACCGCTTATAGACGAGGGAGAGTAGAGCCAGAGCACCAAGTGCACCTTGCACAAGCAACGCGAAGGAGCCCAGTAGCGAGCACTCCCCGTTCGAATCGTCTTCGTCGTATGAGTGTGGTGCTCCGGACGCGATAAAGGTTGCGGATGCGGCTGTGGAGGAAGCCATAGAGGCGGCCGAGACGATAGCAGAGGTAGCCATCTCTAGAACTGTTGAAGAATGGGCGAGAATCAAAGAAGCAGCATCATCGACGGCGACTGGTATATCTTCGAGATTCGACGGAGGCTGCATGTGTACGTGGACGTTTGAATGATGATGATGTCGAATGTCTCAGCAGAGAGGAGAGAGAAGTGGTGATGTTTCAGGACAGCCAAAAGGGTCCAACGGGGGCGAAGAAAGAGACGAATGAGAGTTGTTGGGAGCAAAACTCTTACAAAACTTGTTAAGAGGTGAAACTTGTACTTATCCTGGCATATGCAAAAAAGAAAGACCAAAAAGAAGATGACGAATGGAGACAAAAACGAAAGGGGGAGGAAAGTCAAAACGGAGAACGAGGCGCTTGTGACTGATGGGACTGACTGATCATGAATATCGACGCCTAGGCTTCTCCAAGACTAAGCCTGAGCGTGCTCGGTCACCCATGAATATTCGGCTCCTGTAGCTGGTCGTTCTCAGATTAGACTGGAGCTAAGCCCGAATTCAATCTAGACTCTTCAACACAGCCACTCCCTTGTCCCCGCCAGACCAAGGTCCAGAGTTGTGGCGCCCTGGCTCATGTCCGGCTCAACTTAGCTCCGTGAAGAAACCTCAGGCGGCGGCTATCAACACCAAAAAAAAAGTACAATCCAAGTCGACGACGTTCACGGCCCTTCCGACGCCGACTAGCTTCCCCAATACTGTCGACTTTCCCTTCACACAATGCTTCGTCCCATATTAAGGGTCCCTAGATCCGCCTTTGGCCTCGGCCTGCGCTCAACAGCCAATGCCCGCCGATCTATCCACCATGTTCCCCAACTGCCGCACGACTATTCTGAGGGCGTTCCTAACCTCATGAGCCCTGGAGGTTTCTCAATCGCTTGGACCGAGTACATGAAGCTCATGGTGGAGAAACTGAATGCTTTGACTGTTGGTACGTGTGGCATTGATGTTGTTACAGGACAGCATTGAACCAACACAATGTTTCCTCATCTTACGTTGAATTATACCCCAATTCAACACTTGCTGACATGCCAATTTCCAGGTACCGAGCTCGAGGATAAGGACACAAAAACAATCGCTCTCATGACAGCCCGCGAGCCTAACCAGGCCCCAATTTTCAACTACGCTTCCATGGCACACAACAACCACTTCTTCTTCCAAGGCATCGCACCAGAAGGAACCCCCATGCCCGACGCGCTCCGCAGCGAACTAGAAGCCTCATTCTCCTCCATCGAGACCCTCCGCCGCGAATTCATTATCACTGCCTCCGCCATGTTCGGTCCGGGCTTCCTCTGGCTCGTCAAGGCTGGTCCCGGCGACTACCGTCTTCTGCCCACCTACCTCGCCGGATCTCCCTACCCCGGGGCTCACTGGCGTGCCCAGACCACCGATATGAACGCAGTGGGCAAGGATGGCTCTGCCCGCACTTACATGCACAACCAGGCATTCGGTGCCAACAAGCGAAACAGCGATCTTCCCCCAGGTGGTGTCGAGCTAGAGCCTCTTCTGTGTCTAAACACCTGGGAGCATGCATGGCTGTTGGATTGGGGTGTAGGAGCTGGTGGCCAGGGTGGAAAGGCCGCTTTCGCCGAGTCATGGTGGAAGTTGATCGACTGGGAGAAGGTGGCTCAGAAGTCCGGAGTGCTGCGACCTGGCTTCAAGTCTGCGTAGGCAGAAATATGATACATGACAGCGCCTTGACGTGATGTATAGTTAGGACACGATGTTACGGCATTGGATAGAGACGAAGGGATAAGGGAAGCGAATTCTGTAAGATATTGTACTCTGCATATACAAGGGGGGGAATGTACTATTTGACGTCTCAATGCGCCTCTTATGTCCTGTATCTTGCTCATAAGACGCCTGGGAGATTTCTGGCTACCCAGGTACTTATGTTGCCATGCGCTAGTTCTCGTATATAGCATAGGTATCTCGTGATGATGGTCAGCAAAAAGGTATAGACACCAAAAAGACATACAACACCAGGTATTCGCTGGTCGTCACCGACCCAACTACTAATCCGGCGCTTCGTGGCTTGACGATGGGGGAGCAGACGGGACCCCGTATTCTACACGAGCTGTGGTCGTATGTGATGATTGAGCGGGTAACAAGATATTATATCGAGATGTTGAGCTCGGTTGGCCGACTTGAATGTATCATAAACCTCACAATTGGATACCACTAGGAGTAATATCAGAAGCCCTCAAGGGTGCAACTTCTTGGTGGTGGGCATGTAAACGTGTATATGCTTAAGGGAACTGACGTGAACTATTATTGCAGGAGGGTGTGTTTTGTTGCTTCACGTTGAAGACAATATTCTTCCACTCCTAGTCAGCCAACCTTGCCTCGCACGTCCAATCCATATAGGTCATTAAGAGGAGAGGCCGTAATATAGACGAACACTGACCCCATCCATACAAGACTCAACAATAAGTTTCCAGAAAAACGTCAACATCGCATAGCTTCGAGGACAATATTGAGATTCATCATGCCATTTTCTTTTCCTGTCCTAAGAAGCTAGCCCGAGCTACCTATATGAAGTAAAAAATCAACAAGCGCTGTGTGGTATCTGCGTCATCCTTCGTGAAGTAAAGAAAGAAATGTAAGGGAGTGGGCTGTTGAGTTTTCTAGAGTCGTGTGCGAATGGTATAAAACGAAGGCAGCTCGTTCACCTCGAGCAATGGCCTATCAATCAAGAGAACATCCTGAGTATGCAAATTCCAGTCAAAAAAAAAAAAAAAAAAAAAAAAAAAGACATCATTGCTCATCTCGAGCTAACATTCATCCGCTGTGTAAGCATCCCGCGAGAGAGCCGCAGCAAGTATCGCACAGTGATTGTACGTTCTGACATATAAGAAGACACAAGAAACACCAGTACAAAGAGAGAGAAACGAGTCCCAGCGACCATCAGTGAGAGGTATCAGGTCAACGGTATCGAAATGAAATCAACGCAGGGAAGAGTTTTGGTAAGTGATGGAAGGGTGGCGGATGAGGTGGTTTAGATCATGTTTCCGTTAACGCTGATCTCAAAGCCCTCGCCCTTTTGTCTGAGCGCCTTTGCGAGCATAAGCTCTCGCATCCAGTCGATGCGGTCATCTCGGTTCTTGACAGCAAAGTGATGCGTCTTGCCTGTGCCATTGACACCTTCTGCGGGAATGGCACCGGCAGGTTGAAGATGGCTCTCACGCTTCCGAAGGCGGGCAGTGTTCTTCTCTTGAGGAATGAGCTGGAAAGCAAAGGCACCAACAGGGTCACTCTTCTCGCGGCTGTGGCTTCCACGAGAAAGATGCATCGTCTTGAAAGCAGCAGTGAGCTTTGAAGAGGATGCAACGCTTGAGCAGGCAATTGCGTAATCGTCAATGTCCACATACTCAAGGGTCCGGTCGAGCTCCTCAGCATCCTTGTGCATGTTGAGACGAGTACCCTTCAGAGTAAAGTAGCCGTCCTGCCACTCATGCCGAAGCATCTTTGTCTTGCGCTTCTTCATGGGGCCTTGGTGGCTGATGCCATTGGCAGGGTCGGCAGAGGGAGACTTGCCCTTGGCACCAAGAGGAGTGATAGTTGGTGCGAGAACCTTCTCAGAGCCATTAAGATGACCACGGGAGAAGGGCAAGTTGTCACGAGGGGGTGGCTGAAGAGGCTGCTGAGATCGCGAACCTCGTGGGGACTGGGGTGAGGAGGAGCCCTGGGAAGGACGGCTAACGAGAACAGGCTTGTGTTCCTCCAGAGCGGGCATCACAGGGAAAGAGGGACGTCGGGCTGAAGTGCGAGACTGGCAGCGAGGAGGGGAGACATTGCTAGTTGGAGATGTTCGGTAGTTCATGTCAGGGGGTACAGATTGAGAGAAATCTCGAGCTACTGGGCCAATGGGTACAGCTGTAATGGGAACATCAAGCTCCGAGAATGGCGTACCATGGCGGAAGCTATTTCTGGGTGTCATCTCCAAATCAGGAGATCTAGGGCTGGTCTTCTCCATCTGGTAAGGGACAAAAGCGGACTGCTGTTGTTGTTGCAATTGCTGTTGATGCTGGGAAAATGACTGCGTGGGCTTCTTTTGAGGGGGAGGCACTGAAGAAGCACCAAGACGGGATGGGGGAAGCTGAGGTTTTCCAGGAATGGACAGTTTAGGGAGTCGGCGCAGACCTTGGTGAGGAAGCTGGGCCTGTGCGGTAGGCATACCATCAAATGGAGGTGTGGGAGGTACCTCGGCGCTGCAGTCTCCTTGCTGTTGGTGCTGGAAGCTAAGGAATTGTCGGACATTATCTAGAGGATCTCTTGACTGAACGCCGCGGAGAGATGCTTCGTAAAGGTACTGTAGAGGAGGCATGCCAGGACCCATGACATCCGAAGAGGCGACAACAGAAGGTACAGCGTCCGACACGGGACGGACCTTGTTAGGGTCCAACGCCTTGGCCGTCTCTGGGTTGCCAGCATCTCCAACCATGACGGTACCCGTGGCATTAATATCCACATGTGGATATTCTTTCTTGAATGCCCTGATAAGCTGCTGTTGCTTTCTAAACTTGGAGCAGTTCTCCCCCTTGGAACAGTGATGGGGCTTTGGGATAACTTGTTCAATACCGATGATAGACACTGACTCCATGGGAGTAATGTCGTCTCCATTTGTCCTTGCACGATGACGTCGCTTGCTGTTCTGGCGACGCTTGAGGCCACCTTCTTCCCCTCTTCGCGCTTCTCTGACAACTTCCTTGCTCGGAACATCTTCAATTGGTGTCTCCGGGCGAGGTGACGCAGGTCTACTGTCTCTGAGAGCTTGGATTTGATGCCAGACTTTAGTCCTAATACCAAACGATTGAATGTTAAGCTCCTTGAGATCTTCAAACTTGAGCGTTATCAGAATTGCACCGCTGATATCATTCTCCATAAATCGGTCTGCCACGGACAGCTCAACGCCAGCATTGAGCATAGCCTGCGCAACCATCTCAGTGGACCATGATGCCAGAGTTGTCGTGTCCAGTTCCGCATCAGTGTACTGGAAAGGACTGGCTCGGGTCGGTGGTGGTTGGGATGTCATGAGAAAGTCCGTAATGTTCCGAGGTCCCTTGGGAGTGATGGGTGATAATGTCAAAATG